AAAAAAACTCTTTGATCTTTAAATTTGGAGCAACTGTACAAAAGTCTGCTTTTTTAGGGTATGTACTGCTCGGGAGGGATCTGTACGTGTCTGAGCACATACATAATGAGGGAAAACTATTGCTACGAAAGTGGGTCTGATTTCAAATCTAAAAAATCTAACTGGTTTGAATCTTAGAAAGGTGAAACTTTTTACTAAAGGTTAACTAATGACTTGTCTAGAAGTAAATCCAAATCAGCCCGGTTGTACGTACGACATTCAATGCGAAGCAGTCTGGCCAGGAGCGAAGTGTAGAATGGATAGTAGCGTCGGAACCTGTCGATGTCCAGGTAGACGAGTCAAGCAATATTTGCTGATTCCATCCTTACTATCGCAAACTCTGTTAAAGAAGAAACTCACGTTGCTCGAGAAACTCGGGACGGTTGGGTCTGCGTGTCGTTAAAGGATCACAGCACCGGCGCCACTGTACCACTTTACTTCGTGTGTCCCCTCCCAGAGGGTGCAGGATTCAAAATAGGTAAAACTCAGAGTAATTACTGTTCTTTCAGTACTATTGAGAATATTTTCTAGCTTTAAATGATCCGGATCCTGCAATGGGATCATTACCAGTCGGCTGTACCGTTGGCTCCACAGCTACTGTAGAACCAGTGCTTGGTCTACATGGCGGAGGGGCGTGCATCTGGCCTTCCAAAGACGAATACATTGGCGATATCTACGACTGTATTCAGACCAGCCCTCATGTAGCGTGATATGCTAGCTTTCAAAGAAAGTTTGAAATGCAATTTTATAGGTGAATTTGGCCACGAAATTCCCGTTGTCGTCATATGCTCCTACTGCAGACGGTGTTTGCTGTCCTAGCCGAGGTTATCTTGAAAATTGCTAGATGTTTTCCATAATTGATTCACAACGCCTTTTCAGCTCTTGCATGTATTCAACCTCAAGTGACTGGTCCAAATCCTACAGAACCCCGTTGGTGGTACAACTCAGTCACTGGTAAAGGATTTACAATTTCTGAGTCATAATCAGCATGAAATGTTTTTCAACCCCTTGAC